GGCGTATTTACATGAACATTTGTGACCTCCTGTATGACACCAGACTCATATAACTTTATACTACAACCATTTTAATTTACAAAAGTGCATGTTTTTAGTCATTTTTCAAACAAATTTGACTTTTTTTTTGCAGTAATCCATCAAAACATCTGAATACACATTAATAGGCTTGTACTGAATAGCTTTATTCAGAACCTTGACATTTGAAGTCACTTAAATACTGCACAGCTTTCTTTTTGCATGTCTCTTCATTCTGTTTAAATGTGGTATTTGCCGATAGAGATTAGGCTACACCAATATTATTTGTATAGACCACACAACTGTGAAGTCACACTAACAACAACAATCACTTCCTATTGCAGAGATATGTGAAACTTTATAGCCACATATAGACATCTCATTGCAGGTTGGACTAACGTCAAGTGGTAGTTATTAGGTAAACTCAGGCCGTCGTTTCCTCTATTTTGTGGCCCAATAGGTATATTAGGTTGCAATATAATGTTGGTTAAGTGTTGTTATTAATGAGATATAAAAGCATCAAATGCATTTTAGGCGAATGAGATGAAAGAAAGTGGGAAAAAATAAATCATTCAACATGTAGCTGTCACATATTGAGTCCAGAGCTGTCTTTGAGCATGTTCAATCTTTGCAGATGGAAATTTGAAACACCCGAACCATTTACTCACTGCCATTAAATGTATGTACATGACGTGGGTTTTTTCTCCCCGAAATATAGCGTAAACCAACACTGTGATAGGCTCTATTACTGTATACTATTTGTAGGATTGGATTCCAGTCATGGCTGTGTAGGATTGGTCTTGGCTCATGTGATGCAAACTTCTCTAATAACTCCAGATCATTGAAAAAAGACAGATGTTATAATTTCAAAAAGTTACATTTTCATCAACAAAATATTCTGCTTCAGTCCGTATTTGTTGGCATTGAGCCTTTCAAAAACAACATTTTTACTGCAGTGAAAAAACTGTTTGCTCTCCTGCTTGCAGCACACAAAGGGAGGTATGCACCTGTATAAACAGGGCAGCCCAGCAGCACTATAAATTACATTAATTCATTAAGGAAGTTGATTTAATAAAAAATGATTCACTCATTTAATCTGATGAATCACTTTATTCAAATAGAGGAATTTGTTTGAGAAGTTTTAAAATTTTTTATAGGATGATAAAGATGTTTTGCAATACAGTGTGAACAGAAGCTTTGAATGTAAAAAAAACACATTTGGTACAGCCCTACTTATAAATATAATTAAGTTTTTGACACAGAAGCATTTCCACAGGATGCTTATGCATTGTTTTTTCATGTCTCTGCACTCGCACGTATGTTCATGTGTGTGCACCGAAATTAACATTGATGCTAGCATGTGAAGGCTTTCCCATGCATGACGAGGGGAGCTCTCCGCAGCGTTAATTACATCATTATGGTCGGGATGGATCTCCATCTGCTTGGCCATTACTCCTGTCCCATTCTGGGCTGACCCACACTGCGCCTCAGAATTAGACACACATGGGCTAAATGGCCCTGCTAAATTATGAAGCCATTAGATATGGGAGGCTATTTTAGAACATATGTATTCACACAGAGCGAGGAATAAAGAGGGGCAAGCGAGAGAAAGGGGACGATGAGCTGAGGTAGACGGAGCAACGGAGAGAAAATAGAAATGTGAGAAATGAGAGATGAAGCACTGAGAGATTTTGAAAAATGAGAGCCAATGAAAGCAACAGAGGGAATGTGCAGATAGAATGATAGAGTAGAGGAAGTTAACTTTCTCTGTCTGGCCACAGTTTCAATGTGCTTGTCCTCGGCTATTGTTAGAAGTTGATAAGATTTTTATGAAGCGTGATAAGACGTTGATGGATTTCACCATGGATCATACAGACAGATCTGGGAAATGGTCGACGGCATTTTTTACGCCGGTCATCAAAGGGACCTAGTCACATCAGTGGCCTTTTGCTCAAAGTTTGGATTTTCTTCTGTTTCTCAGGCTTTGTAGACCATATGTTGGGTAAACTGTGATACCACAAGCCACGCTAAATACAAAACCTGCTGCCAGGGATGTCCAAAACTGATCTGCTGGATATGTATCTCTGCCAAACAAGACATTTGTAATTGCAGTTTTACATTAATGAGGCTTTTATTATTGTATCTGACCTTGAATTGTTGCTGTTTTGGATGCTAAGTGTTTTTAATGTTTGTGTCCACCTTGTGTTTGTGTGTATGTATGATTATGCTGCTGCCTGTCTTGGCTAGGACACTCTTGTAAAAGAGATTTTTAATCTCAATGAGTCTTTTCCTGGTTAAATAAAGGTTAAATAAAATAAATAAATAAATGTGAAAATAGAAGAATAATTCAGCAAAATATTCTTGGAACTATACAATACAAGTGAATGGGGACCGAATGCTTGTATCACCAAGGTGGCACAAGCACTGTGAAGAAATTGAAAGCAGTTCAAAGGGATATAGAAATAAGATTAAAGTGACACAGGATAGAGTTAGGTTAAATGCTTTAATCAAACACAGAATAGGAGACCGAGTGCTGAGTTTTTACAGCTACACACTGCAGTGTATTTTTTAACATGACCAAGAGCAACTTGAGGTTTTAGCTATATTTTGTAGTGAGCTCCACAAAGATAGAGCGTTATCTGATAGTATATGTATGCAGGGATTGGAATTTCAAGTGACTTCCATATTTGAGTACTTGCATTAAATTATCATAGAGTACTCTTGCACTTGCAAAAGAAAAAAAAAAATCCTAACGTAAGCATAGGAATTTTAATTGGCCAACAATGGAAAGAAGTGCAATTTGAAAATCATACATCGAACAACCAGGCTTTGATTAGCCTGTTAACATAAGAAAAATTAGCAAACTCTCTGTCGCTGACGCTGCAAGTTAGGTTAGATGCAGCACTGAAGGACCGTCTCCTGAATCCGGAGCCGCTTTTCACCTTGTCAGGTCAACATCTGCCCAGTGAGCGCAAGCTGACACGGCAGCAGCAGCTAACACCTGACACCAAGCCGTTCAACGGTCCCGACAAACTCACACTGACACCAAAGCAAGTTGGCTCTCTGGTCAGACCTGTTAATAACCATTTGGAAACATTAGCCGTGTGATGCTATTAGTTAGCCCTGTCACACTTTGTGTTTGCGGACAGACTCTCACCAACTATTCCACAGTGTAGAGCGCACACACATGCAGTGGTAGTCTCTTAAGTGTGTCATGATGAACAGAGAGGGCGACAGCGGAGCATGAGGCGCTGAGGGAAGTAACATACTGAAAATATGATTTAACCCATTTTCAGTACTTAAAAAAATAGTCCTGATCACCTGTGGGAGGGCGGCGATGAGTACACTATATGTTGAACAAATACTGACATCAAAGCAAGTACTTGATCCACATCTCTAATGTAAATGTGGGTACTTTTCATTTTACCTATACTCTCCTGCTGCACAAAAGCCTTCTGGTTTTCAAAATGGAACTAATGATAAGCTGATACGTGAACAGAGCAGGTAGGTTGAGCTTACAGGGTATGATTTTGAGTGGGAGCTTTAAAGTCATTATTAAGTGTGAGTACTTCATGTTACATTATCTAAGGGAGATAGTGTAACAATATGAATGTGATAAATTAGGGACTGACATTAAAGTAGCTTCAGTGAATTATTTTACACAGTTTTTCCACAGTTGATGCTTTGTAGTTTGTTATCGTTGTGCTTTGAAACATCACATTTTGTATCAGTGGACCGAGTACTAGTGACTTGCAGTATTCCATTAGACCCACTGGACCGTGAACCATCCTTTTTTTAAAACTTGAAAGCAAAGTGTCGCCAGCGTAGAAGTGCTGCATATTCATTTGTAACATGTTATTACCAGAGGGTGTAATCATACATAATTCTGGGTTGACATCGAGATTCAGTGTTCAGCAATCCAGTATCAGAGATGCAGAGTGAAAGCATCAATACATACATCATCTTAAGATTCACCTTTCAGATAAATTCAGTGACCTGTGCCCTGTTGTAGCATGTTTTGATGTTGTGCCCAGAGGCTCCTCAGTTTACCCTAAACTCAGTAATGCTCTTGCCTTTTCAACTTTGCCTGCCAGGCGTCTCAATCTTCAGCACTGGAAATAGACTCACCCCATCTTATTCGGTGGATAAGAGACCCAGCAATCTTTTTGCCTGGAAAATTTAGTTACACAAGTTTGGTAAAATTTGAAAACCTTTCTGGTCTAATTTCATTTCTTTGAGATCTAGTGAGTTCTCCTCTTTTACCTAAGACAGTATTGTTTATATGGCTTCTATGGTAAAACATGTTAGCCTTAAGAAAACCATATTGTGTTTTTTTCTTTATTATTTATTATAAATACAAGTGCTTTTGGACCTCATTTTGTTGCTTTATATTGCCCCTTTTTAATATATTAATTTAATTTAATTTAATTTAATTTAATTTTATTTTATTTTATTTTATTTTATTTTATTTTATTTTATTTTATTTTATTTTATTTTATTTTATTTCTTAAAGAGCCAGTGCTTATGGCCTAGCATCAGGCAGATAATAGGAAGCAGCCAAGAAAAAGACAGTGAGAATATTTACTGATATTGTCTCATATCAATCTCCGACCCCTGAATTGAGTCAAATGGAAATTGTTTCATGTCAGACGTTGTGATATCAGCATATATCGTATTATTGTAAAGAGAAGTGATATATCCTATTGTGATTTACACTCTTAGTAATTGTACAAACTGTTTATTTGTCATCCTGAATATTTCTCTCTGGTTCTCTTCTAATTGTTGACAGAAAACAACAACCATATAAAAGCAAAACCACAAAAGCACTCAGGATGCACTTAGTGTGTGCACTGAAAAATTGAACCCATGTGACCTGGCTGAAGGACAATCGCCCATAGAAATGTCGCTGATGTACTTCTTATTCTTCTGCCTTTTAGCTTTTGACCCAGTGCTCTGTTTGTTTGCTCTGTTTTTTTGTGCAGGTTCTGCTGATGGAATATCTGGATGTGAAGAACAGCCGCAGTGCCACAGAGCCATCGGCTCAGCTCTCCTACGCCAGCACTGGCAGCGAGTTTGCTGCCTTTTTTGCGAAGAAAAAACCACAGCGTGCCAAGCAGTCGCTCTTCAAGTAAGGATCGAACCCTTTGCTCTCTGCCTCGTTCTCCACCAAATAAGAAGAACAAAGGAATAAATCAGCCTGTATCCAAGAGCAGTCTAAAATTACAATATCTCACAAGACCAGAAATCTATTTAAGGTTACTACAGGGGCAGGGTTATGGTTTCTAAATAAATAAAAGTGACTTGACTTTGGTGCGTTTGACTTCTCATGTCCATGTTGTTATTTTTTTCCTGTTACATTGTGTGTTTGACTGTTGTGTTGTGTGCCCACTTGTTGAACCCTCTGTGTGTTTTTTAGGTTTGAATCATCTTCCCATGCCATCAGCATGAGTGCCTACTTGAGAGAGCAGAGGCGAGAACTCTACAGCAAGAGTGGAGAATTACAAGGTGAGGAGGGGCGGTACTGAGAAAGAGAGAGTGGAGGGAGGTGCAGAAGACTCCTGAACAGCTGGATTGGAGAAGTGAAGTTAAGATGGATAGAAGGACAGCGAGATGAAGGAAGAGGAAAAGAGAGATGACGGAGCAGAGGGTGTGAAAAGTATTGACAGTAGAGTGGAAAAAAAAGGAGAGGAAAATCTGACAGAGACGGAAGAATAAATTGGGCCAGGTTTGCAGTGTGTGTTGGGTACAGCAGGAGAGAAAAGAGCAGCTGGAACACAGAGAGAAGGTTGAGGTCGGGTGGAAGGATGAAAAAAGCAAGGGAGGGAGGAAGGTTAGAGGTGTATGGGTTGAGTAAGAAAAAAGAAGAGACCGGTGTAGAAAAAATAAGAGACCTTCAAGCATACTGAACAGAGAGAAATAATGGGTGAGTGCAGATGGATACAGGAGTGGAGGCAGGAGTAGAGAGATTATGCAGAGATGGCAAACAGGTGTGTGTCTCGCCTTGAGTGGGAACAGGATAGAGAGGACGTGGAGGGAGGTGAGAGCGATTTGGTCATGTTTGGCTAAGATAGAGGCAGAGGTGTGGAAGGATCCAGCCAGAGAGCAATGGAGGGATTTGGGATGATGGAGAGGCGGGGTGAGAGCATGAGGGAGCGGTGTAACAAAAGGTGGAGATAGGGAAGGGCACGTTGCAGGTCGAGCAGTTCCACTCAGGAAAAGAAAGGCAGACAACAGGATTGCGGAGAGCAAAATAGAGATAGAGATTGACGAGAGGCAGAGAGCAGGGTGACTTTGCAGAATCCGCCTACAGGGAGAGGCCTTGAAAACCTCTCACTCACACACACACACAGACACACACACACACAAAATAGCACAGTGAGTGAGCTGCACAGCCAGACCCTGGAGAGTCTAAGCTGTTCTACCGCTCCTACTTCTTCTGTTTCTCTCCCTCTCCCTCTCTCTGCTCTCTGTTTCTCTGCCTATGACCTTGAGGTTTCAATCAGCAGCGCCTGACAGCGCTGTTTGTCTGCTACGATTCCTTTTTTCACAGCGAGCGCCTCATTGACATTGTTTGGATAAAGTAGAAAAAGGTGGGAGAAGGAGCGAGACAATAACAGTAAAGAGCTTTTAATCTGTAGCGACTACTCCACAACACATACAAAATAAACCTTTACAATATCTACATAACTAATTATGACAAATAAATAGGTTTTCTTTATTGTATAATCACCTGAAAATAACAATAATGGTGTTTTCGTTACCTTAGAATGAAATGTTTATGTCTACATAGGGAGCAACAACCACAGAGTCCGCTATGTTGCACCACCGTGTTTCTACAGTTGCCCAGAAAAGACAAACCCAACACTGGCTTTAAATAAGGGCATGTGCGTTTTTTGGTCAGCTGATGTAGTTAGCAGCCCCTCCACAATGACAGTATCCACAAACCCCAGTACCCCTAGTATTTTTACTGGTTTTAATTACCTGGGGTCTCATTTATAAACATTGCATACGTACAAAACGAGGCCTGCAAGAGGTGAAGGGCCACTTCCCACGCAAAAGTTGTGATGTATAAAAACAGACTTGATGGGAGAAACTTTGACTCATGCTTACAAACATTTTGGAGACAGGAAATTGGCGATGCAGATGGTGAGGTGGAGGCCTGGTCATAGAAATTGTTAAATATTTTTTGGCACACACCATTTTCAGCTCTTGTTTTTCGGCTCATTTTTAGTTTAGATCCTTGGTTTGGAGAGGAAGAGACCTCTGCAGATAATTTGGCTCCCCGTAAAAACGTTGTGAATATCTGGATGTTAATTTATAAGAGAAAAATGGTGAGCCAACATTAGTGTGTCTGACAAGCCGAACAGCATTAGAGAAACACTTGATTTGTAACGTAAAACTACCTTTATTCAGTGTTTTTACCGGTTTAAATCAGTTGGTCACTTTGTTTTGGAGAGGAGAGACCTCTGCAGATAACGGGGCTCACGGTAAAAACCTCCTGAATGTCGGGACCTTAAGTTATCAGAGAAAAAGGTGAGCCTATATTAGCAGGCGCTGTGCTAGCGGCCTGTCTCCCACGAGCCAAACAGTGTCGGAGAAACATTGATTTGTAATGTGAAACTGCTTCATTCCGTGTTTTAAATGGGCTTTAATCACCTGGTCTGTTTAGTTTGGAGAGGAAGAGGCCTCTTGGATAATTTGTTTAAACCGCCTAAGAAATAAACATTGAAGAAATTGTAACTGGGAGAAGTTTCAACTGGTTGCAACCTGCAGTTCTCACCACTAGGTGCCACTAAATCCCCCTAAGTCTTACACTCTGCTCCTTTAAGGTAAACTGTTTACTTAATGTAGTATTAATTAGGCTACTCTGGGTATCTAACTCAAAAATAAGCAAAGGAGTGACTTGACTGACAACTCTAGAAGACATTTCAACACAGACTTCAGTTCTTTTTTTGTTTTTTAAAAAAGAAAAGCCACTCATACAGTAGCTAGTCTATAAATGTATGCAGAATGTACTGCCTCAGCTCCCCCCGGCACAAAAAGAACAGCATTGATTAACTGTGGATAAAGGAAAACCCCAAATGGTCTTCAAATAACAGCTCACTTTTTTTTTTCTTCCTCCATCTGTCGGTGCCTCAGAAAGAAAGGGGGGGGGGGAATATTTTTTTTGACTGGCTGAATGCCTCGGAGCGTTTATAAGAAGATGAGATTTCTCTGGGCTTTCATTTCACCTGTCACAATGCGTAGCACCGGCCACAAGCCTGGGCCGGGGCCTGAATGGCTGCAAAGAGATTGAAGGAGTAAGAAATCATTTAGAAAGTGAAATAAGTCGCCTGAGATGGAGGGAGGGGGAAAGATGGATGGAGGGAAGGAGGGAGGGAGAGGAAGGTTAAAAGTCATTGTTTTCATCAGGGTCCAGCGAAGAAGCCATTAAGAGATTTCTGAAGGAAGAAATTAGAAAAATATGTATTGAGATGGTGTGGAAAGGGACTTTTTCTCTCTCTTCAAATTAAACTTACTGTAGGGAGGGTGGAAGAGGAAAAAGAGTTAGAAACGAGAGATTGATTTGATGAGTTCTTCTGGCTGTGGGATTACTCAACACTTAAAGCTTAGTCATGTGTGTCTCTTAGTCTCTCTACTTGGAGTTCCTGAACTCTTTTTTTCCCCTCAACAGTCTGCTTCAAGTCAATATAGTTATTAACTCAGATGCTCACCAACACAGCCTTGGAAATAAGAGTTTGATTGCTTGTTTTAAATCCAGCCATGCACCGCTGACAAAGGAAGAAAAATGGTCATGCACTAAATAGAGTACAAATTCAGAACTACAGATGCTTTTTCAGTATGTAGAGAAGACTTAACTACGTTAGCTTGCACTTTTGTGAATGATGCTACATACTGATATAAAATAAATGTTCATGTCTAAGAGGTTACAGTATGTCTCTCTGGATAGTTTTCACAGATCTTTAAAGGAGCATAGGTTGTAGTGGCATCTAGAGGTGAGGTGCAGATTGCAACCAGCTGAAACTTCTCTCATGTGTCAAACATGAACTCTTGCTGATGATTCAATCGGTGTTTGTTCTTCAGGAGGTTTTTACCATGAGCCGAATTATCTGCAGAGGTCTCTTCTTCTCCAAAACACACCTGGTGATTAAAACCAGGAAAAAAAAACTGAATAAAGCACATTACAAATCAGTGTGGCTATGATGCTGCTGGGCTTGTTGGAGATGGGCCGCTAACCTAGCACCTGCTAATGTGTGCTCACCTTTTTGATCCAGACGTTCAGGAGGTTTAAGGATGAGCCAAATTACCCACAGAGGTCTCTTCCTCTCCAAAACAAGCAGTCATATGTGTAGCTTTTTGTCGAGCAGCAAGCATCACATAAGTTTACATTACCAAAGGTTTATGACAAAATTACTTGACGACACTGACTCCCGTGTGAGAGAGGAGAGGGAGAGACACTGTGCTGCTGCCAGAGGAGCCGCTGAATGAGTTCCCTCTGATCAGTAACTCGCTAAAAGAGTCTGAGAAGTCCGGGGATGTTCATTATTAAACATTCAGGACGCCACAGTTTATTTTTACACTACTGAAACTGCTCCTCTTTTTGGAACCATTGCAGAGTTGCTAATAATTTCGCTTTCAGCCATGCTTGTTGTTGCCATTGGTAACAGTATGACATAAAATGTGAACAAGTCAAAATATTGCAAGTATCACAAATTTTTCATATGATATTAAAAATTATACCAGTATTAACATGAATGAGATGATATGGCACACCCCTAGAAAACATACTTATTATATCATACTCCATTTCTGCTAATATATCCCCTTAAACCTTCACGCTGGACCTTTAAATAAGAATCAGAGCAGCAGTGGTTGTATAGAATGTCTCATGATTTCGTAACCTACCCAGAGTCACATATCTCTAATGGGTTTGAAATTAATCTGTAATATCTGTAATTTATGTCTCTGGAGTGTTGTAAGGACTCGCCATATATCATTACACACATGCACGCAGCTACACATGCCGCACATACACATGCAAACACACAGGGGGACTTAATTGCTCGCCTTCTCCACTGAAGCACGTCTCGTACGCTTCAATTAATCCAATGCTTCATCTAAAGACTTTATTACAGCTCCATATGCAGCCACATCTGGAATATGCGGTGTGAATGTATGAAGAGTAGACCGCCAGCTAGAGCACGTATGTAGTGCTCGCATATACGGCAGATCCTCAGCTGTCTGTCTATATGTGTGTATAGTGTTTGCGGGCGTGTTTGTATCCTTGGCAAACCACTACTTCAGAATCACAGAACCCCATCCAGATTCAATCACATTCCCTATGAATAAATTATGAAAATAACAGTATTCCAGCTATAGATGTGTTACCGTGCGCCCATATTCCTCTGCATGTCTCGCAACCTCTAGACTTTTACATACCCGCCCCTTGCTTTTTTATTGCCTCTTTGTGGTATGTGTGTAGGCAGTGGGATGACTCGGAGTGC